ATAGATATAAAGAAGGCAAAAGAGCTAGTGATGGAAAAAGGAGAAGTTTGTGTCTCACAAAATCCACAAAATTTGTTCGTCTTGCATCGTCGGAAATTTAAATATTTACATATCAAAATATATTTTAGCACCAGCATATTCTCTGTCTTGTGTGCCTGCTTTCTGTCTATTTATTTTGATGTCTTTCTATTCTGTCACTCATCATTTTCTATGCAAAATATTCGCAAACATACAAAATAAAATAATAGAAAATGAAACAATGACAAAAGCTGCCTTTGAAGTCTTCCTTTATGTTGATTATTGTTAGCTATTTGTTATTCATATTTTATGGCATTAGGCAGATAGGCAGGCTGTGGAAATGTTGACGAGTTTCAAGTCTCAAGGCACAAGCAACAAAGTGGAATTGGATGAAAATATTAAAAATGAAACTTTTTAACTTAAATTTGCATCCAATTTCAAGTGCTGAAAGCATCAAGTTCTCAGAAAAACACTTCCTTTGACACTTAACAGCTCAAACTCATTAAAAAATCCAGTCATAAAAGTTTTAAATTCCATCAGAGAGTCTACAAACATCAACAAAAGGAAGAATAGAAAGTTTCAATTCATAATGAGACTCGAGTACATCCACTAATTGACAGCAATGCTAAATACACACACAAACATTTTCATTCAATTCCATCCATTTGTTAATGACGGCTTTATTTAATTTAATTAATTCCTTCACATTTATATCACATATATAAAGGCATCAATTTTCAAAAGCAACAGCAACAGAATTAAATGAAAAGGACTAATGTGAGACACATTGAGAATGAAAGAGATTATCACGTCACTTAATGCTTATGATAAACGGAAAGAAAATTAAATTTCTGAAGACAAATCCTTGAGCTGAAAAGAGAGAGTCACGCATACATGCATAGACGATGGCTGATGTCTTTGAGCTTTGGTATTTTTTTAAGAGCTGATGAATGTCTTTTTGGAACTTTAGGGACTGGATTTAATGGCTGCTTTAAGTTTAGCTCAGCTAGACACCTTAGTGAACTTGTTTGTCGACTTGATTCTAAGTTTGTCAATTGACATTAAAGCAAGATTTTATCCAAAAAAAATGATAAAAATTCCAAATGAAAGTTTTTCAGCCAAAAAACTAATTTAAATTTCAAATTTCCGAATAAAAATCGTGAAAAAGTTTTAAATGAAAATATCAAGCACAAAAGGCAGCAACAGTAAGGAGTGTGAGTTAGGGTGAGCTATCATTCAAGGACTTTACAATGCCTGTAGATATTTTCAAAACGATCCAATTTTAAGGTAAACAAATTTGTGATTCTTTTGTTTTTCTTTTTACAAGCAAGCAAGCAAGCAGCAGCACTTCTTCTCACCGTCTGTCTGTTGTCACCTTTTTTCCCTCCTTCTTAACCTCTCGTCATCATCATCTTCATCATTAATTGATTCTTTCAATTTAATTTCTCTCTCATAAGCATCAAGTTCTTGCTGTAAAGTAAAACTTATTCATTTAGCACTAATTGCTTTACTAAAGTACATAACAACACGATATAAAGCGGGTTCGAATTAAAAAAAGGGGCAACAAAATGGGAATGAGAACAACTTTTTTTATGCATGTTACAGCATGAAATAAAAAGTTTTGTAAGACAAGCTTTATTTCATCGTTGCAGGCAAATGAAATTAAAAATTTAAAAAATAATTTCATGCAATTTGATATGCAAATATTTGAGAATTTAAAACAATTTTCCTGCAGGAATTAATTACAGTAAAGTAGCAACTGTAAAATGCTGGTTTTATAAACCACAAACCACATTGAAAACTAGACAAAGACCAGTTGCCATTGTTTATTAGTACTGCTATTTGTTTTCGTTCGTCATGTATACATGTACACCATTAATTACAGTGATGTGCCTTTATCCGGCTAATATATCCTGGGGATGCTTTTTCAATAAAACGGATAAAGGATGGATTGTGTTTAACATTGTGTCATGGTTTGGGGCATTTGAATTGTAATTGCAATTAATTATTTATATTTTATTTTTTCTGTAAATTGATAGATGCAGTTAGACTTTTGTGGAGGTTTCTGGATGGGCTGGATATTTATCATAAAAAACCTTGGCATTTGGAAAAGTTTGCAGCGGTTCCGACACTGCATAGCTATAACTGCATTGCTATCATCAAAATTTGTCAGACATAAACTTGTTTCCAGATTTATTTTAATCAAGGATTATGGCTTGTCAGACTAGCAGTGTTTGGTATTATACATGTTCAATAATAAGGAATTAAGCTTGTTCTGTTGATGCTATGTGTCTGCTTTGAAATTAGAGTTTAAAGGAATCAGGAGTGAATTAGGGCCAAATCAAATAGGTTTCTTTTTAGGTATGCAGTTGGTGGTTTTATTCATATCTCGAGTTAAATACATATTTTCTCAAAATGCTGATTCTTTGAGGCTAGAAATCTTGCCTCTTTAAAATAAAGTAGTAAAAATGCTCATACAAACAAGGGGGAAACAAGGGAAGGTACTAATGAAATGACCAAAGTGTCAAAATTGATCAAAAAATGATCAAAAATTTAAAATTGATCAAAAAATGATCAACAATTCAAAATTGATCAAAAAATGACCAAAAATGATCAAAATATAATTTATCAGTTGCGCACCCTTGGGAGAAAACAACCTGATAGAAAAAAGCTTTTAAGATATTTTATTTTTACAATAGCTGATTTTCAAGCAAAATTGATTTGAGATTAAAAATTGGTTACGGTATAAAAAAATTTAAAAAACTTTTTTTCATCAAGTTGTTTCCCCCTTGAGTTTAAACATTCAAGATTAACTTTAGAAAGTGTTTTAATTATTCTTAAATGGAAATTGTTGAATATTTTTAAGCCTCAGAGCAGTGGTTCTCAAACTATGTGCCACGGCACGTTGTAAAACTCAAAAAAATGTGCCGTGAGCCAAAAAAGTTTGAGAAACACTGACTCAGAGGATAGGATATTTGTAGCCAAAAAAGCCGACAGCGTCTACAATTATAGAACCTCAATTTTATAGAATTTAAGTTGTCATCGTTTCAAATTCCCTTGCTCCTCTCCTGGCAGCTCCAATAAAATAATTTACGAACATATCCACAAACTGAATAATTCAGCAAAATTGATAACACTTATTAATGCTTAAATGATTGTTCAATAATTAAAATTCAACCCAATTAAATTAATTATGAATTTTTCCAAAAAATTATATTTCCAAAAATAAAGCACTGCGGATAATATTCCATTTTTTTATTGACTCGATTCCCAACATGCTCCGTAATGCCATAAACAGAAACAACATTGCGGATAATATTTTTTTACCTTTATTTTTTTATTATTATCAATTCAATATTTGTTATGGACATTTTTAAAAAATAATAAACACTTTGACAGTTGTGTGTATTTTAGTTATCAGCCAGTAAACATCTATATGACTTTTGTCATGGAAAATATGGTATCATGCACATAAAAAAATTTTTATAGCCACAAGCTCAATGTTTATGGTTAGTTGAACTTGAAAGTGTCCACAATAAAAAAGCTTATTTAGTGCTTGTCAGTGAATATAAAAATTGAGTATGACACAAGTTCCTCGCAAAAGCAATTCATCCACAAGAATTCTGTCATTTCATGAGGCATCAGGCACGATGATGTTTTTTGGACAATTTTTTGGTTTATTTCCCATCGAGAATATTAGAAATCGTGATGAAAATAAAATGAAATTCTCGTGGATATCCTTTAGGACATTTTATTCGTTGACATTTTTAGCATTTGGTACGGCTGAAAGTACATTAGCGGTACGCAGAATTTTACGATTTGGATTCAATATGAACATGGCTCAGGGACTGTTTTTCTTTATATTCTCAATGTCACGTGCCTACATCATTTTTAACATAAATCTTAAATGGAAACGAATCATTAAGTATTGGATGAAGTGTGAACAGCCATTTTTGAATTATCCTTATTCTGAGACTGGATGGTGTTTGAAGAAAAAGTGTCGACTTATATTTGCTTACTGTTTGGTTCAGATTTTTAGTAAGTTGTGGAATTGAAATATTTTTTTCAAAATTTCGTTTTTTTTTTGCTGAGGCTTTAAATGTGTTTTCTTCGAGATATGGATGTTCCTTCAAGGATTAGGGCTGCTACAAATTTTTTTGGGAGTGGGGAGGGGGGGGAGGAAGACATTCCTGGCTGAAACGATGAGCTAAGAACATTAAACTTTAAATCGTGCTTGACTGGGAGGTTTCTAAGGGGTCGTTCACTTATGACGTCCAGGAGGGGGGGGGGGTCAATAAGAAATGAACAATAGAAATTCCTGGAATTCCATTATTCTTTTTTGAAAAATAACCGTTAATATCGGACATCATAAGTGAACGACACCTAAAGTGGCTGGTAAAATTATAGGAAAGGGGAAGGGAGTCACAGACCACAATTTAGTCTTCCTCACTATCAAAACATAGACACATCCTACATTGCCCTCCTACTTCTATCCCTTATCCAAACAAATGTGTTAATATCATTTAATTATTTAAAAATACCAGCAAAATGAATTTTTAACACCTTAACATATGTTTATCGATTTTGGTCCCGCACGGATGTAAAATAAAATAAATGCGGTCAGTGAAAAGTTGAAACTTTTACGAAGCAGGATGTATATTTAATGGAAATTAATTTTAGAATGAATTCAAACCTACGTTTATTTTATACCGTACATAAAGCTTTAATTATTAAAGTTCAAATGTATATAGAAACATTGTTGGAAACAGAAGCAGTAACAAGCTGAAAAAATATTGTTGATAGCCGAAGGCGAAATCTGGCTGAGTTTGTTGAGATTTCGAGATTTCAAATTTTGGTTTTTAAATAGAATTTTTAGATTCGTTTGAATTGAATTTTAGGAACTGTAAACAAATCGAAATCTTGATACAGCTATTCTTAAACCTAAAATTACAGTTTACGGACGTTTGCTCATTTTTAATTCTTTACAATTTCTTTGAAAAATTCCCAATTTTCTTATTTAAATTCTCATGAATTCTCTTTCTTTGTGTTTGAATGCTTTTCTTAATTCTTGTGTTTGAAATTGCCTTAAGTTTCATCAGTAATTGCCTAATCTGCTTTATACTAATGGCCAGAGACGTATTAATTCCCTTAAATAACTTCAAAATCAACAGTTCTACGACAAAAACAATACAGCAAACTCCACAACATTCAATCCAAATGACAAATCCAAATTTCAAACTACTTAGTACCAAAGATGACCATACGACTTCCTCATTGATGTTTTTGAGACCACTGGAACATTTTTGAACCAAATAGTTCATAATTCCAGCTGATATTAGCTTCTGGGTTATATTATCAATTGGCTCAAACATGAAATTATTATGAGCAACAAAAAATCCACTTTGACTGACTTGAAAATTAAAATTGGGCAGCTTATGCCATTTTCCTCTGTCACTAAAATGAATGTAATACATATCAAGCACCAATGTTTGAACGATGAAAGCTAGTTTTGCGGTAGCATTTTGTGACTGTGACATAAAATAAGTAATAAATGACTGCTCATCAAGCGTAATAACGTTTGGCCTGAAAAATATTTTTATATTGAATTATTAAAACGATCACCAGATCTTCAGTTATAAGTGACTTTAGCGTATTTTTCTAGCATAGAGCAGTTAATGTCCAGCCAGCCAGCCAGGCAAAGGAAATATTTATGCTTAAAAACTTAAAAAATCAATTGCTATCTTACCACATCGATTCTTCATATTCTAGAAATTCCGTCAAAAAACTTTTCTGTAAAATCGAATAAACTGTGTAGTTTCGTGCCTTTAAATCTGCAACAGTCTTTGGTGGTGGATGTCTCGGTTCCTTTGTCATGAATTCGAACAACTTGCTTTGATAGCAAGTCCGGAAAATTAGACAAAAAAACACAAACATCATGAGGATGAACCGTGGAATGTGTCTGATTGGTAATTTGTATTGAGAAATACCAAAAAATGTGCTGATAACATTTAGTGCTGGAGTTTGAACTTTTTCACCAAAAACTCGTTGTTGTATAAATTTTGGCATGTAGTTAACAACAAAAATTCCAATGAAAGCCAATAAAAATGTCGAAATCAGCAAGATCCATGTGGTTTCGTCAAAAGGCAGCCAAAGTTTCTCATAAGCAGTGTAACGTTCTCCAGGTGTAGCAACAATGATGTCACGAATTTCTAGAAACGTTGATGTCATGTGTAACCAGCCTTCAGCGGATGTTGTCATTCTTTTTATTTCAACATACACATCTACATCATTTTCATCGTCAGTGACACTGAGAGCAGGAGTAAACTTTAATTTTTGTGCTGCAATTCGAAATACTTCTGGTATTATTCCATTGGTTTCAATTGTTTCCTTATTTTGGTCTGGTGGTCTCATCGAACCATAACAATTATCAACATGAGACACGATCAATCCCAACTTAAGCATACAGCCATGAAAATCTACAAATTTTTCATAATTTTCCAATGTTTTGTTCCATTTTTGTGTGATTGTGTTGAATGAATTCAGAACTATTAGTTGTGGTTGATTACATGCTGTGTCTGTGAACCATTCGATTGTCAAAAGATGAATTAAGTCATTATCGTTGACAATTATAAATTCATAGTTTTCTAATCGGCCATTTAAAAATGATAATTTATCTCCTTTGGTGAGTGCTTTGATGTTTCGAGTAAGGAAACCAAGATCGCATTTGTGAATATAAATCAGGAATTTAAATGCTTTTGGATAAAAGCTCTATAAAGATGATGAATAGTGAATTGACATAAAATCAAGACATGAATCAACGAGATAAACTGATGAGGCATAAATTCCAAAGGATTGCTTTGAATCTTGTACCCATGAGAATATTCGATATGAACGTTGTTCCTTTATCTCAGCTAGAATCTCATTATGAATGCTGTTTGAAAAGCCAGATGATGCTTGAATGATTGCGATGTCAACCGAAACTTTATCTTTCACAAAAAGTTCATAAAAAACGTCCCGAAATGCTCTTGAGGTTGAAGGAACTTTTGGCTCAGGCTTAAGAACTAATTCACAAAAAGCAACAAAAATTAAGCCAAAAATAACAAAAATTTGATTTAAATTCATTAAATCTTCTTTTCTTTTCAATGGTTTAGTAAGGAATGAATGGAATCAGAACAATTTATTGGTGCGTCACTTGATGTAAGTCAAGATATAATATTCATCAGATTAAAAGTCGTGTAAACATGTCAAACACAAAAGTTTTTTTAGTTCATCGTTAAATATAATTATCGGCAAATGAAGCTTTGTTTCCGTGCTTATCCACATTAAGTTTAGTTTAAAACAAAATGGCGGATTTTATGGTTAAGTTTTTTCTCTAAGATTTACTTTAATAAATAATTATAGACTAGATCCTTTTGGATTTGGGTTCACTGGATCTTATTATTTTAGACAAAGCTGGTCTGGATGTTTACTGGATCTAATTCGGCTGATTAAATTTGATGATAATTCTTAATAAATTGGTTAAGACTCATTTGTACATAAAAACCTATTAGCTAGGAATTTAAAATGTTCTTGTCTCAAATGACGAGGGTCTGTACTAGTTAGGAGTAAAAGACGTCATCAATGTGATCAAAATCATACAGGTTTGACCTCAAACCACAAGCTGATGTAATGATAGACAATAGCTCCTTACTAAAGCTTCAAAATTGTTAAAAAAGAATAGAGAAAAATTAATCTAAAATAAAGCAGCATCAAGCCATCAAATATATTTAAATTTTCACAACCCCTAAACTATAATTCAACATTTATGCTAAACTGTCACTTGATTGTCATATCAGACTTAACATTTAAATAAACTTTTTCTTCTCAAAATGTCAGAACTCAACAAGTTAAAGAAGAGACACTTGAGAATTTAAAGCACACCGACACACATGAATTATTAAGCATTTGATAACAATGGCAACCGTAAAAAAATAGGGAACTTGATGCTTGTGTGGGCGTATTTTTCTGAGAATATCTCAAAGCATGTATAAGTTTCAAGCTTTGTGCCACCAACGTGAATTGATACAATAAAGTCAATTGATAAAAAGGCATCGAAGCTGAAAATAAGTTATTCATGTCGGCATGTAGGAACAATAGAATCAAAAATCAAGTGGAAGTCAAAGAAAAAGAAAATGTTTTGTTTTTCTGTCAAAGAATTGTTTGCTGCCTACACATTTTCCGCTCAATTTTAAAGACAAAATTGTTGACTTATTGAAATACCTTGAAGATATTTGTCTGACCTTTCATAGCATTACATAGGAAAATGTTTATTTTTACTGCGATACCAAATTTATTAATTTAAAAACGAGAATCTCGATTCGCCCACGAAACAAAATGCCATGAATATGATCAACATGATACAGCATGTGGCGCATTCTGGGAATAGATATAAGATGTTGAAAACACTCTTGAAGGGAAGGATCCTGTCATTTTGTCTCCATTCTATCCAATGAGCTGATCTCTGCTGAGAATTGAACCCACAATCTTTACAAATTTCTAATCTGCTGCCCACTCGACTATTGAGACTATCCTTTGCCTATGGCAGATTCGCCTACATAAGAAAACCCAGAATCCACTAAGACACAGCAGACAGCCTGTAAAAAAAAATATAACAGCACATCCTCGAAAAATTATCAACAATGTTTAATTTTTCTCAATAATTTTTTTATTAATTTAATAATTTTCTTATTCCATCAACCCCCACATTCAGTCCCACACATCTTCTTCATAGCATCAACAGCTTATGATAATTACATTCAAATTACATCATGTCCGGTGCCGTACGATAGCTTTTGGAAAAATTATCTAGCTCATCATCGACCACATCTTGTAGCAAATATTCCATACACACCATTTCTATTGCCTGTATACGAGGTTTGATGCTGAGGGGGGAAACAGCATGATGAGGAATCATTTTTTTTCAAAAATTCCCGCAGTGTTACAAAACTTTCGAGCTTGTTGAAAATTTTCAATCAAAACATTTCCCCATCATGTTGTTACCCCCCTGGATAGATTTATTCTCATACAATTTAATTGAATCAACATCAATTTGCATTAAAAATTCTCTCTTTTCCAGTGGGTTAACTTACTTCAAGCGAACGTTGAGAGCTTTAGTGATTCCTTCATCATATTATTAGCAACAGGTATCTCGACACGATTCAGTCAGTTTAATGATCTCTTAAGGAAAATAATACATAAAGAGAGGGATTTAATGAATGCAAGCATGTGGAAGAAAATGAGGATGGATTACGTCCATTTAATTGATCTACTTCGTTTTATTGATTCTCATATTAATGTGCTCACATTCATTTGTGTTGGACATAATGGATTCCTCACAGCATTTAAAATCTTCAATTTATTTAGGTATGCTCATGTGCTTCACAATAACTTTATTGATATCATTTAATTTGTTTGTCCATTTTGTAGAGAACATCGATTCAATACATTAAGTCATGTCAATTTCTGGTTCTTTCTTATCATATTGATTGCCAGATTAATGGGGATTTTATTTGCATGCGCAAATATTCATCGACATGCTATAAAGGCACTGGAGTTTCTGAGGATTGTTCCTGGGAAGAGCTGGACGATTGATGTGAGTTTATGTTGTTGACTGACATTTATGTCAGTGCTTTAGCATGTAAAGGGAGACTTATAGAATCCATACGGGATCTACTTGAACTATAAACTCCTTGTGCCTTGCTGAATGTCTTGTGTTGCAATGGATATATGGCTAGAGTGGCAATTTATTGGAATTTTTGAGGTTTGCTGGATTTTGTCAAAAAAAAACTACCCCAATGTGGCTCGTGTCTTAAATTAGCTTCAGAGGAACTAAGCTTACTGTAAAGTAGAATCGAAAACATGGAGGATAATCTGCCAACTTGAATAAGAATTCCTATTGAGTACTTAGATAATAAACTAGATAGTTTTTAAGAGAGCTTAGGTTCAATTCCTACAAATAAAAAAAGATTCTTGTCGTATCAAGTTTTTGGGGTAAATTCTAGACTAGCTTCTCTAGGGCTACTAGTGGATTGATATTCTCTTCAGTCTTAATTTTGAAATGCTGATTCTTGAGCATATGCTTGAGCTAGTTTTTGAAGCTGCAAGTAGCAATCTAGCATAGTAATAGTAAAATTTAAGTCTTTGAGGTTGAGAAGGTGAAGGAGTTAATGAAGGTCGACGTTCAGGATTGTAGCTTTGGTTTGCTCTCCTACTGCAACATTTCTACCTGCTTTCGTGTCTTAATTATCTATTTACGCTTTACTGCTGAAGAACAATTCAATAATTTCCAACATTTTAAGTTCAATCAATTTTAAAATATTGCTTTAGGATTGTACACTTATGACGTCCAAAAATAATAGGCATTTTTCAAAAAAGAACGATGGATTTCCAGGAATTTCTATTGCTCTTTGCTTCCTGATCCCTCCCTCCCTGGACATCATAAGTGAATGGCCCCTTTAATAATTAAATTTTCCTGCTTAATTAAATCTACTCAAAAAACAATTCTCTTTAAAAAGCTGAAAATTCTCTACGACATCATCGAATGTGAGGAGCCAAATCTAGCATTTTCAATCATTAGAGCCTCTTTCATCACTCGTAACATGATATTGTCGGTGAGATAATTAAAATTCCATAGAATACTCTATACCTACCTAAAATATACGTTTATTTGCTCGAGTAGCTTTTCGGAACCATGGCGACATTCCAAATTATATTATTTGATCAAGTACATAATGCCGAGGAAACAGTTTGTACCATTGTAGAAGTTTGAGTGCCTTAAAAATTGTGATTGATGATGAAGAACAAGTTTCTCAGCTTGCCTACATCAAAATTATTTTTTTTTGTATCATGTCAAGTTTGTAGTCTGATACTTTTGTGACTGACAAAATTCCATCGAGCTTATCATTTATGAATCTGTAAATTTTTAATGCTTTAATCATCATAAAGTAACAAATTTGCAGTCATTTAAAATCCAATTAGCTAAAAATATCATTTTAAGGTTCATCGGAATCAAAATCACATAACTTTTTGATATTAAATTACATGCTTGAAATATCTTTAAAATATTCATAAAAATTTATTTTCGTTCCTTTAGCTTTGACAACATCAATTTTGCTCATAAAAATCTGAAATTCTGTAGAAAAGATAAACCTTAAATTTTAAATAAACATGAATTTTATTTCTTAGAACTGCCTTGAAGCTGAGTTTTAATGGAATTCTTTGGAAATTAATGCCATGTTGTTTATTGCATTGCAAGCTTGTTTACGTTTTCTTGATAAAATTTTGTTTGGTTCTAGAAATTTAGTAAAAGCTTATAAGATTCTCTTAGGGGACGTTCACTTATGACGTCCAAAATTAACGGTCATTTTCCAAAAAAAGAACAATAGATTTCCAGGAACTTCTATTCGTCTTTTCTTGCTGATCACCCTCCTCTCTTGGACGTCATAAGTGAACGGCACCTGACAAGATTTTTCAGGAACTCCCTAATCTAGAGTGCAAAGAAAAAGCTTAGCAATGCTCGAAGCATGAATCAAGTACAACTTTGGCATGCTCTAAGACAGAGTTCGAACCTGACTAAGATCTTGACACTTTAGTCGACTAATAGATACAAAATGTAAGCTAGCTTCAAGTAAACCCGAGAAATTGACACTTAGAATTGATACTTAAAACGCATTCATTTCTCAATTCTCGAGTATCAATCCCTGCTTGATCCATAATTCAATTGTATTATCATGGAAATTAATTTTAAAAATAACGTTTTGCAATTTTTTAAATTTATTTGCAAAGCTTTTTTTATTGGCGCAAATGAAGCTTTATTCCGATTTTCCGATAACAGCTGATTTTCCGACAAAAGTGTTTCAATTTCCAGTTTGTGCCTGATTTTATGTTTTGAATTATTTTTGACAGTTAAGAAATTATGAATTAAGTTTCAAGTATTAGTTGGAATGAGCTCAACAAATTTATGGTTTAAGTTTAAGATTGGAAATGCATTTAAGGTATTAGTATGATTTTTTTTAAGTATGCTCTAGGATTGGTGTCTAATTGGGTTGTTCTGTGGTGTCCTACTCTAGTCAGAATTAAATGTAGGCATGCAGCTAAGTGTAAGACATCAATGGTTTAAAATCCAAGAGTATTACGATTAAAATAGTGTTCTGAACTTTCTCCACATTTATCTTAGTGCATCATCACTGACTAAACAAGCATAACAAGAGATAATAAGGTTAAACTTAGTCATACTAAATTGAAGCTAGGAAAACCTCGACTGGTAGTTGTACACTAGAAAAATACTGGTCTACTTATCTCCACATCTTTGAGGTTTAATACCTCGTTACTGGCAATCTTTAAAAACAACCAAATCCATTGATAATCTTTAGATTTCAAAACTTTTTATATTAGAATTTTAAGCGTTTTTAAAAATCTACCGAAAAATTCACAAGCGAAAAATTTAAAAAATTTAACAACTTTAAAAGCTTTATTCATCAACTCCTGCTATGATGTGCGTGCAAATTGATATTTTCTCTTCCTTTATCTCGTCCAAAAGAACAAGTTCAAATGTCACAATAGCTCCCACCATGGCCAACATCATTGTCTTTGTGATGTAGAAAAACTTTTGTCCAGAAAATGTAAGAGTTGGAGCTTCAACTGAGATCGTGTCGGAGAGTCTTTTGAGCTGAAATTAATGAAATATTAAGATTTGGTTGCTGGAAAATATTAAGGACTAGGATTGAGGTTCAGCGTGGACAATGACAATTCTTTAATTAAGCCCTAATGTTAATGTATTTTTAAGTGTCATTCATGGTAAACCTAGTCGATAGTATCAACTTACATCAATAGTCCAATAATTTGAAGGAATTAGTCGAATATAATTGATTGTATCAGTAGCAGCATCATGAATTCTTGAGCATGATAAAAGCGTTGAAAAGATTCTTAAAGTCAAGAAGAAAATGTAGAACCAAAAGTAGAGATCATCCAGGAAGTAGTATCTAGTTGGACTGTAAATTTCCAAATATATTAATTTGAGAGTCTAGCTATCAACTAAGTTTCAATTTATTCCAAAATACTCACTTTAGTGCACTAAAAATCTTAATTATTAGCACCAGCATGTTATGAGCAAGCGACAGCAAAATCAAAAAAGATATTTTAGAATCAATAAAATAAATCAAGTCAACAAGCTGATAGTAATGAATCCTCATGTTTCGAAAGTTTTCTGGCGTCATTAATCTTTTATCTTTTGTGACTGATTCAAAATGTTGATTAAACTGATCGAATCGAAATTTAACTCCAATGGATAGAATAAGAACGAAAATGTCACTAAAGTTCCATGCAAAAGCTTGAAGAAGATTTACCCACTAGAATTGAGAAAGATTTGATTAATTCAAGGCAGTAGTTTAAAGGAATTCGAGCTTCAAGGGGATAACAGCATGATAAGAATAATTTTTAAAATTTAAAAAATCTGCCACAAGCAGAAATGTGATGGTTGGCAACAGGCTCGGGTTTTGAGTAACAATTCCCGTTCCATAACCCTTAGTAAAATTTGGTTAAATTTAAAAAAAAATCCCATCATGTTGTTTACCCCCGCTCATAATTACTTCATAGAGTGGCAGTATATAAGGACTATAAGGAAAATTATAAACTAGATGTGGTCTATAAATCCACAAAAAATTGAGCCAAAAATCCTTTGAAATTGGTTTGCAATCTGTCAGTTGAATTCTATTGTTCTCAACGCCTTTTACAAGAAACAAAATATGCTCAGCTAAAAATAAAAGAATTTTTAAATAGCGAGATTTAAATTCAATTTAAAAACTTACTCAAGACAAGAAGAACTGCAATTGTAAAAACAATTCGAAGTCGTCTGGACAAACTCCAACCTTTTGTTTTGTACGGATCCCTTAGGAATACATCCTCACAATCTTTCCATTTCGTCATGATAAATTTCCATTTCCGTCCCATGAAAAACACCATATACGCTCGAATCATTGCCGTTATATAGAAGAGGAAACCTTCAGCATAATGAATATTAAATCCCAGACGTAGGAGTCGTCTTGTTGCTACTGAACTTTCTATAGTCCCAAAGACAAGAAAGAGAATTGAATAAATTGTTTTTGGTGATTTCCAACGAAAATTTAAATCCTTTTCACTCTTCTTCAAGACACCATCAACAGGTAACATTCCAAAAAGTTGACCCAAAAGTAATGCAGGTCCGACAGCTTGATGAAATGATTCATGTTTCTGTATTGTGTCTAATTGAGACTTAACGAGAATTCTTGGTTCCGTTTCTTTGTGAATTTTGCCTACGTCATTTTTTGGCTTTACTCTTATAATTGATGGACGTGGTGCTGACATGCTTAGCTATAAAATAAATCTGAATGGAAATTTTAAAATGCAGCAACTGCAATGTAATTAACGCACTTGTTTTTTACTTTATTTATTAGGATAATTAGCATGTTGTTAACTACATACTTCATACATAAATAATTTAATCGATTGAGGCACACAAGCTTACTGGATGTGGTTCAATTTCATCCAGTAAAATTATTTCAAATGTTATTATCGTTCCGATCATCGACAGGATCGTACCTTTGGTGATGTAAAAAAGTTGCTTTCCAGTAAATCCAACTGATGATGCTTCCGTTGAGACTATGTCATGTAGTCGCTCCATCTGGGAAAAGGAGTTGATTTTTTTAAAAAATATCGAAATCCTGGCTGGTTTCTAGAGCTACTTGGAGCACTCATTGAATCTAAAGTCTATTTGTGCCTCAGGTAATCCTAAAAACCAGCCTCTGATGTAAAGTTACATCTGAGTTCCACTTCTCTTGTGGTATTTGTCTGATGTAAATTAATGGTGTGTGTGCTGCTTCATTTATCATCGCAGGCAGATACAACACTAGAAATGTCCTTGTTATTAAGAAGGTGATAAAGAACCAGAAGTAAACTGAGTCCAAAATGTCAATTCTGGTTGGTCTGTAATGAGAATTTATTTTCTCATGAAATTTTAATTTTAAAGGTATTAAGAAAATGTAACGTAAGTAAGTCTGCCAATGCCAATGAGTTGACAGCAAAGCTAGAAGCTTTAGATTTAATGATTTTCCAAGCACAGTCCTTAGTGGTTCGAATCCTATTCACTAAATCTGTATATAAAGCGTTTAGTATCAAAATAATTCACGCAATATCCACTATATCACTCGATTGACGTCATAAAAGAATTGTCAGTGGATAAAAATGTAAAAGTTGTGAATATCCATCAGCCAACATCCCACATACATCTGCTTGTGTGGACGATATTTTTAGAAAATCTAATAAACCATCAAATTTGTAGATCCATCAATGAACTAATGGATGTAAAAATTGAAGTATATTCACTGCATCATTTGATTCTACCCACTGCACATGATGCTCAATCATAGCATTTGAAGTTCCAAGAACCACCACATCCCCAATTCATTTAGTCCATTAAAATTAAATTTAAAAACTCACCGAAATGCAGAATAACACTTCAAAATAACCGTCAACATGTTGTGGCTAGCTGATATTAAAACAACTCCTGATATATGCGAATCGATAAACTTTGTAAGTTCCAATAATTGAATATAATGAGTCCGCAAATCCTGCCAAATTGTTGGCTTGTACACAATGTGCTTATTTGTAATAATTTTACGGAACAAATGGTTGTATTGATTAAATCTAGTTGTAATGCCTATGGATAGCAGCATAATGAATATATCCGCATAGCTAAATGCAAATGCTTGCAATAAATTCACCCACTGTGAATTATTGGAAATAAAATAAAAAAGTTTGTGACTTAATAAATTTATTCAATTTGTTATCTGAATTTTATTTGGCAATTAATGGAAGGTCAGTGGATAATAATTTTAATTAAATTAGTGATTTTTAGTGCTTGGAGGTGTAATGTTTTATGATTTTATTATGCAATGATCAATAATTGTGGATTTAGGCAGGAGTGAGTACTGAGGGGAGGGGGAAGACTTAACCTCTATCAAATTAAAGAATTCTGAGCCAGAGATCATCAAGCATTTGGGACTAAGGTAGGGGGGGGGGGGAGTATACAATCAAGTAATGCCTCAGCGAAGCTTTAAACCAAGCTCAACTTATGGAATTCTAACTCACCTCATAAATAGGCAGCTGCCATGGTGCATATTTCACAAAATGCCTGACATGTGGTCGATATCTAGCGAGATAATTGTCCCAGAATACTTTAGACTTTGGATTGCAATATTCAATCTGCATGTTGTTGCTGTGGATGGCATAAGCTAGGAAAAAGAAGTGTTCAACTGAAAAGGAAATGACGTTTGTTACTGGTTTGTTTTTATAGATCTCCCTATAGCTGTCGTATGTTTACACTAATGTAAAACAAGTCGGGTTTGATAAGAATCAGTAGCCATAAACAGTGCAGGTAGTTCCTTAAATTGAACATACAAGACGTCTACAAAATCCCAAGGGTGTGGTACTGATGAAATAATCAAAATTGATCAAAAATGATCAAAATGTAATTCGTCAGTTCCACACACTTGAAAAATCCTAACCTCAATAAATTCAATAAACCCACAAATTACCAAACACACATCCAGCTATTAATCCAAAGAAAATGGAAAGTTTACATTTCAATGTCCATCGTTTCATGACATAAGGTTTCTTCAAAAATACATCCTCACGTTCCTTCCAAAACAACATAATACTCTTCCACTTCATAGCCAGTCGAAATATCATTAAAGACCGGACCATTGATAGGACATAAAACAGCAGAGCCTCGCCATATCCGATTGAAAATCCAATTACAACAAGTCTACGAATAGCAAGGCAGCTCTCAATACTTCCAAAAATAAGGAAGATGATTGAATAAATTGTTCTAATGGACGTCCACTGAAACCTTAAATTATCTTCGTTATTTGATAAAATGCCATTAACTGGAAGCATGGCAAAGAATTGACCAAATGTTAAAACTGGTCCGATTGACTCGTGAAATGATTTATTTTTTACTTCCTTTGACATTTTTTCAAGCACGTCTTTCGACCTTTTTGTATGTTTACTTTTGAACGTTGTTTTAAACAACTTTTAAGCTTGAACAAAACAGTCAACAAAGTTGATGCATTTTGATCATGATTAATGGACATTAGTTGCGTGCAGTAAGCTTTATGAGGATAATCTCGACTAAGAAATGTCGTTTTAATTTTTATGCTGTCGTTAATTTACCTTTATAGCTTTATATTTTTATTATAATGATAACTTTTATGGCAGCAGTTTAGTTCGTTGAATTTGGAAGCAGATTTGATAAAAAAGTGGAAATAGAATTGAAAATGGAAGTTTGCTGTTGAATTGTGGACAGTTGGAGTTTTCGATGTTTTACTGTAGTTCGAGGAATTGTTAGGGTTGTCAATTTTAAATAAGATGAGGAGAGGAAGGAGGTGATGAAAGATTAAGGCAGATCCACAATTGTCAAGTTAGTAATATTATACAATTGTTCTGTGATTCAAGGCTTTGATCAACAATCTGGGAACTCGATAATACTTAACTTAAATTTGTGTAAAGCTCTTTACTTGGTCTTGCTGCTATTCCTTCACTGTGGGACGCTATCAAGTCATTAAAAGTGACTAATGATTTGGTACCTAACCTTTATGTCATACGAAAATTCGCTAAAGTTGCTCACTCTTAAATGGCGGTCAGCTGAACTCCTTTCGTCTATCCAACTAAGCTCTCTTTCACACCACAAATCATTTTAAAATTGTATGTCATGCCGTGATGATAATTGAGAACAAAACCAAGCATATTCACCTACAGCAGTGTTTCTCAAACTTTTTTGGACCACAGCACATATTTTTGGAAGTCCTTTCATGACCTTTTTGAAGTCACAAAACATGAAATTAAAGGGTCAATTTTAGCAATCAATTTTTTTCGCGGCACATAGTTTGAGAACCACTGATATACATATGTGTCAATTTTTAATCATGAATTGGCTTGTTAAGCTTGTTAAAAATCAAAAGCAGGTGCTTAAGTTCCCTGATTTGCTCACAATTATTAAAAATTTCACGGAAATTCCAAAAGGTTGTAATTTAACATATAAAGTAAGTTATGATTCATAAGGATTTAGAAACTTTATCAATATTTGTCAACACCAGAATTAAATAAAGTCCTTCCGAATCCCCATAATCGCTTGATAATGCAAGCCAATATGTCCCAAACAATCCAGCACAATAATTTTATGTGAATGACTTTTTCCTCCTTTTCAGATCAAAACTTTGGTAATAACAAACCTATTTTAGTGGACCAAGAGCTATAAAAAGTTTAGTATTGTAAGATTGGGGTCGTTCATGTATGACGTCACTTATTTAAGCTAAAATGATAAAGGATTTGAAAGCGAGTTCAATCAAATGAAGTTGAATACGTCAGTAGTAAAGTAAGAAATCTGTTATGTCTATATTCTGTCAAGGGGAAAACAATATGGTGGGAAAGAGTTTAAACAGGAAATTCCAAACAATTCTTTACCGATTTGAGAATATAACCAAAATTTCAATGAAAAACGTTGTAAAATTCCAAACATCAAGTAAATTTGTAGTTAAAACTTCTTCCTTACATGCTGTTCTCCCCTTGAATTTTGTCATTTACAAAGAATCCTATCAAACTTTTATCTTGACCATTATATAAGTACCTTGTTATTGTAACCAAGAGACACCTTAATTCCAGCATTGACATCATTTTTAAACAACCCCCTAAGCACATTATTACGAAAAATTCAATAAAATTGTACATAATTTTTGATGAAATTTTTCATTATAAAAATTTCCTTTATAGCTTTGATATAATTGAAAAATTTACGAAGCTATAAAAAAGCTCTTATTTTCAGGACAATGAAGTTATTGAAAAAGTTTTGCCCACAAAGTGAGGAATTAAAAATTTAATGAAACTACAATTAAGTCTCATACTTATTCGTGTCTAGTTTAATATGAGGTTATTTACAGCACACGTCAAGCACCTTTTTTGTAATTAAAAATGTCATGCTGAGGAACTGGACATTGTTAGTCTCTTGTGTACGCTTAAAACAACATGTACAAAAACTTTGAAATTCAATTTCGAAAGAAATTATTGGAGGACAAAAAGCTAAAAGATAAGATCAAGAAGAACGCAAGTAAGTGTCAGTTCCACATGCTTATTGTTCAACATAAAGTCAATTTTCAATTGTTTGTCCTTTTTTGTGTATTTTATACAGTTCATAACAGCCCCGAGGACTTGAAAAGTTTTCATGAAGTTCTTGCTCCAGTCATAGCCATCGGCAATGTTTTCAGCATCTTTCCGGTCGCCGGAATTTTCTCAAAGAATGTCGAGTCGTTAAAGTTTAGGATATGGTATCCTATAACTATCTACTCAATTATTGTCAACTTTTGTCTGCTTGTTGAATTTTTTACGCTTTTTGTGTATCTTTATAAGGCTCCCTTTCAATTTTTTATGGTCGGTGAGTATTTTTTCTATACCTTACTTATTTTTTGTCTGTTGGTCGATGGATATTGTTATTGTTTTATGACTCACTTTTGAGAGTTTGGATGGAGATACATTAATAGAATTGAAGCTACTGTTGGAAGTGACTTTTTAAAGTGGAACTGCTATAAAAATTTTTTATGACTTTATTTAATTCTAAAAACCCACAAAATATATTTTATGATAAAATGTTTAATGCCTTTAAGACAGTGGTGAACAACCTTTTTTGTGACATGGCACACCTTGGTGATAAGCTATGACCAAAACCGCACACGACATATGGTTAGACTTTTAGATTTTTTGACACTAGTGTGCCGCGGCACGTGGGTTGACCATCACTGCTTTAAGGCATTGTTTGACATTAAACTATAAATTTTACTCATTTCCTAATTAAAGTTAGTAGTAAGAGTTATAAACTAAGATCCACAACCTACTCATGACTGACAATGCCATAAAAATCGTAACCAATCTTGAAATTCCTTAAATATTATTTTATCTATTATTTATTCCATAATTCATGCTGCTTGACTTCATAATAAAGGCCAAACAATATTCACATTTGTATGTACATTCGGTGGACTTTATTTCTTTTATTTGTCAACAAAATGGAAGAATTTTATGACTACATGGTGGAATGATGAGAAGCAGTTTCTAGCACAGCCATATTCTGACAAAATAAAAAGCACATACGTGAAAAAAATACGATTTATTGCCGTGGTCACAATTTTATTATCGATTCTTGATCATTATATTTATCTCATATCAGCAGTTCAGAATACAAGAATCAAAATTGAAGGATGTGATGCATCAAAACGTGATTTTTGGAGGATTCTGTTTGTGAATGAGCGTCAAGTATTCTTTATGATATTGCCATATCATTCAGCACTCTTGCCATTTCTCGAATGGTACGAAGTTGTAAAAACAATGTGTTGGACATATTCGGAAGTTTTTGTATCATGTGTATCGATTGCGCTGTCTACGCGCTTTCAGCAACTCACAAATCGCTTGAAATTTTACGAGAAGCACCATTTGGCAGAGTCATTTTGGAATGAAATACGAGAAGACTATAATATTGTATCGAATCTTGTGCTTAAAGCTGACAAAATACTCTCCCCGATTGTCATTGTCTATTCATTCAGCAATTTATTTTTCATTTGTCAAAAGATTTTTATGCAGTTTGAGAAGAAAAAAATTGCATGGGATCGATACTATTCGCTGTACTCGTCTGTATTTCTCATTACTCGAACGACTTACATGCTGTATTTTGCTGCTGAAGTGAATGAAAAGTCACGCGAAGTTTTGCAGATTTTGAGGGAGGTGCCGAGCGAAACATTTGATGGAATTAATGTAAGTTGGAAATTTTTTGGTGAGCTGAAGTGGCTCGGTGGCAGAATGGTTTAGTCCTTCGGTACCTAATTATTTCAAAACTGACATAGCGATCATGGGTTCGAGACTGGGTATGGGATTTTTCCATGGTATGGGGTATGGGTGTGTTGGGAGTAGTATTAAGGTTTTTGGCACAGAATCTGCCTCCTTTGTTAGGAATACAAGGATATACTAGCATCTGGATGACTTCCTTACGGCATCTTGCGCACACGAATTGTGACCAGGTTCATTGCAGGGTACATCAGGTCTTATGACGTACTCGTGTCTTTGCAATGTGCAGAGCTTGCAAGTGGTTCGGATCCCACTATAAACTGTTGGTCTAAGTTTGAGGGCAGTGATTTGGCACATCCTTACTCGTTAAACTACCATTAGTTGCGAAACGCATCTCTGGATCCTAATTAATCTTAGCTAGTTTTTGTAATGACTTCGTTAGAAACTAATGTTTAAAACTAATCAGGAACTAGCCAAATGTTGAGAACTGTTGAGAAACACTGCATTAGAGGACAAAGTAGAGTTCACTTCAATTGTTTGACTAAAGAAGCAAACAACCGGATCATACGTTAGTCATAAGTTCGATTCTCACTTAACTGAGCTGAGCTAAAACCTATTTGTTCTCAAACCTAGTTGTTCTCAAACTTAGTTATAGTAAAACCTAGTTGTTCTCAAACCCAGTTGTTTTCAAACCTAGTTGTTCTTAATCCTAGTTATAGTAAAACCTAGTTGTTTCTAAAAGCTAGTTGTTCCAAAAACCTAGTTGCACCAAAACCTAGTCAAGATCTCTAGCTTCTAGATTATGTCCTTTATCACCAGGCCAGATGCGCTTTTATCCTCTGACACCCCAAAAAATACAAACTTCCATTTTTACGCTTCTTTTCTGATTGATTTCCATGTCTCACACTTACAATGACTTATGCGAATATTTTCTTTTCCCCTTCATTTCATTTGTATTTTATTTAGTACCATCGACTTCTTGATGTCGTACATTCAAATTGTGTTGCTTTGTCAGGATATCGATTCTTTTATGTAACAAAGTCAATGATACTTGCTGTGAGTATAAAAAAATATATTTGAGAGTAATATTAAGCAAAAGACATGATGCCAAGTATTCAACTCACATCTTTTGAGTTTTCTTTTTTCTTTATTATAAAATCAATAAGTGAATTTTTTCTGTTGTCTTTTAAAGCTCGCTGGAACAATTTTAACATATGAACTTGTATGGTGATATTTTTGAGAATTTTATGGATTTTTTTAAAGAACATGGAATTGTTTAAATATTTTATGTCCTTTTGCAGGTGTTGCTTCAGCAGAGAAGTGATATTGGTAAGTTCTTGTCCTTTGTAATAATCACGTTATCAACTGAGGACGGATTGAGTATCATATTCCATAACTCATGTATCTGTCCTACTTTTCTTTACAGACATTGACCATAACATCACTACAAATGCATGCGGAGAGATGACAATATAATGATTTTTCCTTGATTTTGTTGAATTATCATTATTAAGTTATAGAATTCAAGCTACACAATTCTGAATGATGTCAACAAACGATGCCTTATTATGAATATGATTGAAGTTTGTCTTGAATAAAATGCTTTTATATTAATTTTATTTAACTGAATCAAGATTCTACACCCCCTTCCCCACTCTCACCCTCCCAACAGTGAAAAATTTGGGAAATGAGATGCAAACCTCGAATCATTTGCTTCACATCAGGGGCGTTGCCAGGAATTTGAGGAGGGGGGGGGGTGCAAAAATTTTTTTTGCATGGAAAAATTTAAGGGAGGGGGGGGGGGGATTTTTTCATAAAAACCCTAGCAAAATAAAGAAATTTCTATTTACGTTGAGGGATTTGTCCCCCAAATCCTACGCACTTGCTTCACATGGCTTTTGACCAGGCTCGGAAACTAGGCGGTATTTAAAATTCGGTATTTCATTTAAAGAAGCAGTATTTGGGGGTATTTGGAGGTATTTGTATGGAAGTTGGGGGAATTTGGCGGTATATCGCCTAGTTTCCGAGCCTGGGCTATTGGTGTAGAGCCAGTGATGTTTATAATAAAGATGATAAAGCCCAATTTACATCAAAGTACAATAAATTTTATTTTCTTTAATATTTTTCAGCACACTATATCAAGAGCACATTGCATTTTTCTACATTTTCTCAACTCTAAAGTTGATAATCCTTCATCAAAATAAAGCCTTTTAATCATTACTGACTGCTTAATTTATTTTTAAATTCAATTTTTAAGGTCCAAATGGCAGTAAAAAAATTATAAATATTTTAATGCTAATTTTTATGTTCACTTATGACGTCTATTATTTTTTGGGACACATTTATATAAAAGATTATAAAAGTTTATTACAATGGGGGCAGGGGTTTTAAAAATAAATCATTTTTCATCAACGTCATAAGTGAACAACCCCCCAAAAATCTTTTAAAAAATAATTTCCAAATTAAATAAAATTTAAACAAAAATTGGAGACTCGATAAGAAATAATAATGGCAGTCATTGATGGATGGTCCATTTCCAGTAAAAAATAATCTTCTGAACATTTTAAACATAACAATTCCTTTACAAAACATGACATAAACAGTCACTTAATACATAAAACACTTATTCTATTGAAACATCTTTCTATAATGGACCTTCTCAGTTTCCCGATAATTTGTTAAGCATTTCTTTGCCCTCTCAAATTCCTTCAGAACTGCTCGGTTGCTTGGCGATAACTTGAGTGCAATCTTGAGATCATTCAGTGCCATTTCATAGTTCTTTAATTCAATGTTTGCAATCCCACGACGGTAAAGTGCTTTCGTATTATCTGGGTCAAGTTTGATAGCTGCACTACATGAATACATGACGTCCTCAAAATCGTGTAATTTAAGCTCAGTTGCGGCTAGATTTGTAAGATTCGTTAATTGAAATGTGTCGAGTGCTCTTATCTCATCTTGGTCAATCGTTACGTCTTTAAAGTGATTAAAGTATCTCGTGACTTTTTTATATTTTCTGGCACTTTTTGTGTAGTCCTCATTTCTATAAAAATAATTTCCAGCTTCTTTAATTTTATTCAGGATGTCAAGCTTCTCATTTATTAAAAAATCTTCATGAACTTTATCCCAATCACATGGAAAAGGCGGGAGATCTTCTAACGTCACATCATTATCGCAATATCCCCAATTCTCATCAGCACCCAACTCACCGCAGTTACTTATGATGATATCTCGTGTGGGTGTGCCTTCATCTGTTGCATACACTTCCATTTCACCAATTATTGAAAGTCCTTTTCTAACGTGACCAAAGACAACATTTGTACCATCAAGGTGATAACACTCGACGGATGTGATAAAGAATTGTGAATGGTTTGAGTTCGGGCGTCCACAATTTGCCATTGATATTGATCCGGGATCGTGCTGTTAATTATGAAGGGAAGAAGGAAATTGTTGATTAAAAATTGCTGTTTTTTTTTTAAGAATGAGTTGAGGGGGGTCGAAGTTGATGGGCTACAGCTGACTATTCAAAGTCTTGTCTGTTGTTTATAGTCGACATGATCCTAGAGAAGGTTGCCTAAAAACCTAATCTGCTCTAATATCTAAAGTTATTGGACTAAACTTTGAGATATAATTTATGGTCAAATAGCGAGACATGTCCCGATTTTAGCTCTGAAAAAGCGAGACGGACCGAATTTTCAAGCATTTTCAAGAAGAATAAGGTCAAAAAAGCTGGTCGTTATGGATTTTAGGCGGGACTTTGTTCAAAAAAGCGGGACTGTACGCTCATAAATTTGCAGTTGAACAGCCTAGGGTTCGTTCACTTATTACGTAACGCACTAGGGGGGGAGGGGGTCTAAGATTTTGTTACGCTTTGTTACAGGGGGGGGGGTCTAAAAACTCATTTTTTTGCGTTACGTAATAAGTGAACGAGCCCTTAGGTATAAACTAAAATTGACTGTGGCAAAAAAGGTCCAAGATCTTCAAATTTTACCATAAGCACTTCATTATTTCAATTTTGGACACAATAAAAAATGTTATAAGCTTCACAATCATGACATTTTATTAACATGAGAGAAAATGAGAATGAGAAAAGCATCAACTGAAAATATTCATAACGTCGTCATTTGAGCATTTAGATGTCTTGATAAATATAGATAAAAAATTACAGAAGTTGCAAAGAATTTCCATACAGAAAAATTTTATCATTTAACGGTTTTTTGAAACTCAAATTTTACAATGGCTGGAAAAAAATTTAAATTATAAAGGTAATGTTGAAATTATAGAGGTAAAATAAAATTTTGGCAGGTTACACTGAACACAAAAATTCATTAATTATAGCATAAATACAGTGTTTCAAGACTTTTAAGCATTCGATGGGCCTATAAATCGATAGTAACGGAGATAATAAAACAAACGCGAGCTCTCTACGATGTCTAATTAAAAAGTTTTTCTTCACCCGAGCAGCCAAACAGCCGAACAAAGTGTATTATTAAACTACCTTTTAGAAACAAGTTTAAAAAATGCGCTAAAAATATAAAACTCAAGGCTACGAAGCCTTCTGCCTACATAGCTTCTTCAAAAAAACCGAATTCCTTTCTTAAAGATGATATTTCAGCAGAAGCACATATCACATCAACTACACAAAATTTACAAACCTTAAGCTCGAAATTTTCATCCTCAAAATATTTTCCATAAATAGATTTTCCAGAGGTTCCGTTTCGTTTCTCGGATATGTCACCGCCTTGTGCTAAACAAAGTTTGATGACTTTATGGAATCTTGAGCCTCGATAACAGAATCCTTTCTCACCCGTGCATAGAAGACGAAAGTTCTCGCAGGTCTTTGGACATACGTCTTTCCGTAATTCAATAACAATACGACCAACTTTTTGATAAAAATTGAATTTATCATAAAAATTGAAGATAATTTTAAAATCTTTAATGCTCACCTTCTTCCTTTCCAATTCTTATGTCTAGATACACTATTGGATTTGTTAAATTTGCGAGCATCTCAGGCATTTTGAATAATATTTTTAAATCTGCGCTTTTTTTTTTGTCAGCAGAAAGTTTGTGATTTACTGGATTTAGTGACTTTTTCTTTAACAATGTTGCTAAATATAAACATGTGTTGATTCTTAAGTGGCCGCCTGACAACTTTCTCTGAAAACTGGAACAACCATGAAAATGAAACAGATAAAGGAACTGATCTTTGTTAATGCTTTCAAGCTTTTGGATAATATTTGTCTGTAGATTATTAATGGATAATTGGTGTAGATTTAATAGTTAATGAGATATTGTGGTCGTGGTTGTGTCTAATGGATCTAAGATGTCTAATGAAATATGCAATAAGTGGTTAAGATACTTTACTGAAGCTAATGTTAAATTTTGATTAATTTAATTGAATGTCAAGGGGTTTACATTAGCTTTACTTAGAAATTTTATGCCACAATGCTGAACAACGGTCTCGGTTTCTATAAATGTGATTTTTGGAGCCTTTGCACTTATGACGTCCAGGGGGGGAAGGGGGGGGGGGGGGAGGGGGTCAGCAAGAAAATAACAATAGAAATTCCAGGAAATCCATTGTTCTTTTTGGAAAAATGACCGTAAATTTCGGACGTCACAAGTGATGACGTCCGAAAAATTACTTCTCCCGTGATATTTTTTATGATTGACTCCTAGATACATCTATGATCAAAATTCATTTATGTGTGTATGAAATTGTGTGTCTTATCATCAAAGCAGGAGCAGTGCTTGCCCTTAGCAAGTCGCGATAGCTTTTGAACCTAGTAGCGACCCCTGCTAGATTTTTGATTGCAAGCGTAACATTGTTGTACATTTGTGACTTTAGTATTACTTCAGTCACTTTGATGGGAAGTTTGAATTACGGTCGATGTGGCAAAACATACAAATTGAACATTTAATCGCACACTTAACATCCATATAGGTTGTTGTGTACATAATAAGTAGCATTAATTGTTAGGGTCTGCCTGTAAATCATAGTTATTGTTTAGATGGTGTCTGAAGCTTGCTTTAATGTTGCCTTTTTCTTGATAATTTTTAATACTAAGTATAATATCATGTAATCCTACAAACTTACTAAGTACGTTAAATTCAATAACAATAAACACATCAATCGCATTTGCAGCCGAAGGAGCTTATTCATTTGGATGTTTTCTGTTTCTATCGATATTCAATTATGGCATAGGTTTCAGGTTTCATGACAGAAATGCAACAAGAAGAATCACAACAAATTAAAATGTTGCAGAATATCGTTTTCATTTCATAACAATTTATTTATTATGCTTAAAATACCTCAATTGCATCATATCGGTCATTGAAGTATGTATGAAAATTGATACTCTATCAATGATTGTTTTGTTACGTCTAAGGAGCAATTGATGCCCTTGAAGTACCATTCTCGATGAGCTAAAGTAACAGACCTGAGTCGAACACTTGATATGATGTCTATTTAATTACTAGACGTAGAGACAACTAATGATAATTTTTTAGGGACATTCTTTTGCTCATTTAACATTAAACATCGAAAATCCAAACAATTTTGTAAAACAAATAGCATAGAAATAGTTACAAGAGGATGTCCCACTCCCACAACCCTACAATTAAATGCCATCGTGTGTCAACAAATTTAGCTACTCAAATGATTTATAGAGGCATTAAATAAAACAGGAGTGTTCTCCCTGAGAATGAAATTAAACACATGAAAAGCATATCCGTGTAATATGAGTAGCGTGTGAATTTATGCACTTGAATGTGCACACATGAAAATGTTTTGTAAATAAAAAATTAAGTTGCAATTTTCATGCATTAATGATGATTTTGTGGGACAGGTTTAAGAATAGGAGGTGCTGATTTAGATGTCGTTTTAGGTGACTGAACATGCATCTATATTGGTAAACTTTTCAAAAGTTTTTCTTGAAAAACCATCAAATCTGATTTTGTTAAGGGGCCGTTCACTTATGATGTCCAGGGGGGGTGGGGGGTCAGCAAGAAAAGAACACTAGAAATTTCTGGAAATCCTTTGTTCTTTTATGAAAAAGGACCGTTAAATTCGGACGTCATACGTGAACGACCCCTAAGTGAGTGGGTTCGATTCTCGTGTGACCAGGATATACAGATTACTCAAGACATTACTGGAAACTAATTGGAATTATTGGAATTTCAAACCTATCGAATTTCTAGTCAAAATCGTAGCTTCTCTAACTTTGGACATGTTAAGCGCTTTAGAATTCATATCAGCCTAATGCCAATCTTAAGTCAGGCGCTGGCACCTTATCTTCACTTACTTTAGATTCCAAAATTGATGCATTGGATTATTAAGGTTTCAGCAATCAGAAGACAAATACCTGAATTAGACTCCGTTGAAAATTCGCTTTAAAAACAACCAAATGAATATTGCAACAAACATTTACCAACTTAATTTTCACTTTCATTACTATGGGAAATATTTCCACGGATATGATAAGTTCCTCAAATCATATTCACAAGTTCAGACGTGCATTAGATGTTCTCACTAGATCTATTAAATTTGTAAAGTAAAATGAAGTTTAAAAAGCCATTTTGTCCAAAATCAACTCTCTTTAAACGATCCAAAAAAACACCACCAAATCCAGAGATTCAACTTACGGGTATCAAGCGATGGCAATTAATTGAAGGCATTAAAAATTTACACCAAAAATCCAACACGTCGATAACTGATGGATCATTTCACAACGCAATAAAGCCAGCATTAATCATAGGACAATGTTTTGGTGCAATGCCAGTGTCTAATGTAATATCCAAATATCCATCGTCGCTTAAATTTACATGGAAATCACTGCAAAGTTGGTATGCAATTTTTGTAACTTTAAGTGTCGGATGGGAGGCACTTTTAACAATCTACTGGACATTCAGTCGTCATTTAGAGTTTGGTAAAATGGTCTATCTTGTATTTTATGTATCAAACTTCATGTCATTCGTGTGCTTCTTCAGTCTCGCCACAAACTGGCCTGACTTGATGATGTTATGGCATAATGTCGAGAAAAAATTGCCGCCGTATCGTTCAAAAAGTGAAAAATTTTATTTGCGTGCTAGAATGAGAAATATAGTCATAATAATCCTCATGTTGTCGTTGATTGAACATATTTTATCGATCATTAGCGCTCTTGCCATTGTGGTTGACTGTCCTCGAATTAAAAACATCATGAAGGCTTATTATGTTAAAAGTTTTCCACAAGTCTTCTCCTTTCTGCCGTACTCAACAGCCTTTGGCATCTACATAAAGTTTATTCATGTAACATCGACCTTTATGTGGACTTATACGGACTTATTTATCATGATGATATCTTGTGGATTGTCGGAAAAGTTTAAGTTAATTAATGAAAGGATGCTTGAGGATAAAGGAAAGGTGAGTGAAATTAGAGATGGGATTGTCCCGAGCAGCACACATGCTTTTTGTAGTAAACGAACTCTTTATGGAGTCATTAGGCTACCTCTAAGACTCTGTGTTGTTTTCTCATTAATATGATTTGATGATGACTTATTGACTATATTGTGCTGCTCGGGAATTGTTATTATGTGTTCATATCAATTAGGGTAATCACTTTATCGTTGATGTTTGACTTTACTAAGCGTATTACTTGACTGGAAGATTATTACAATAGATTCCTAGTTGTATGGCTTGAAGCCCGTCATAGAGCTATTATTCTAGAGCGAACTAAATCTTGGACTGAAGGGTAACTTTAGGGTTTCACATTTTTGAGGACTGACATTTTGAGAACTACTAAATTCCTTTATATTATCAATTTATGACACGAAATGGACCCTCTTGCTTTCTGGATGTCAATCGAACCTTTTCAAGCCATTCAACCTAGAATTGTTTGTTTCCAAAATTTTGATCAGAATGATTCCTATTCATCGCATAAGTGGGAAGCTGTTTACATCAATTTGTCAATAATAAGGTCAAGTTTTAAGTCTAAGGAAGAATGGATCATTTCTGAGAATATTATAAGGACTCAAACAACTTAATTAAAAGACGTACAGCTAAGGGAGATGATTAGGGTTAAAATACAAGACCCTCGAAAGAAAATATCATAACTTTACCTAGTTACTAGAACAATAACTTCTCAAAATGAAGCCAATGCACAACTCAACTCAGCAATAAAACTTAACATTCCATACTTATCATCTCATTCTCATCTTTAATTTCTTTTATTTTTCTCAATGCATGCACAACAAAACACACCAAAAATAAGTTTAAGAACCCTGAATACTGGAGCGAATATCGTCGTCACTACAGAAGCGTTTGCGACTTAGTTGCCATCATCGATGATAAGATATCATTTGTTACAATCCTATCCATTTCAAACAATTTATTTTTCATCTGCGTTCAGCTTCTTAACAGCATGGAGTAGGTTAAAGTTGATTGCACTCAAGCATCTAATGATGATGAACGGAATTGGATTACTTGGAGTTTCTCTAAATTAATTAAAGCTTTAGAACTTAAATTGAAATTTAATTACATTTGTTATTATCTTTTTCTAGTGCCATCAAGTCTTATGCTCATGCGACATACTTCTGGTTCTCGCTTATTTATTTAATCATTCGAACGCTTGCCGTGTCACTTTACAGTGCAGAAATCAATGATGAATCGAAGCGTCCGATTGAAGTGTTTCGTGCGATTCCGAGGGAGTCTTGGTGCTTGGAGGTGAGTTTTTTGAGAATATCAATAGATGAAGAGCTCTGGCTACGTTTCTATGAACTGTTGACGTACATTATGGATTTTTTGAGATGCTGAGGGATGTATGAGGGCTCCTATGAATTTTCAATGGTTCCACTGCATGCATTTTTTGGCTACTGTAGCTAAACGTAATCAGTAGGAGGTTCATAACCTTTGATGTTCTCAGGCTCGCTCGAATTTAAAGACAACTGAATAGATACACGCGTGTAAGATTGTCCCAAAGCACTCTCATGCACTCCCTCGTCCTCCTACACAAACTTTTAAAAAAATCCATAAATTCAACCCAATATTGCCATCCCAAACTCAACATCCTTTCTCTCTCTTTTCATGCTAAATGAACAAAGATAAGGAGATTTTCCGAGGAAGTAAATTTCGACATTGTGGCATTGTCAGGAAAGAGATTCTTTTTTCTAACCCGATCACTTGTGCTGTCTGTTGCAGGCACAATTATAACATATGAACTTGTAAGCATTTATGACATATTTTTTATCCCTTTTTCCTTCTTTTTTATATTTTGAAAAGCAATTTAACATTGTTATAATTCCACTTGTAAAGGTGCTGATTCAATTTAAAACGGATGATGATATTACGGGTATGTAGTTCCTTTTGCATGAGTGACCGTTGGAATTATTTATGGTTTGATGACTTGTTGAGTGCACTTGAATGAATATCCCGATCGGCATACATTGAAATGTTTGTTGCCTGGTGGTTGGGTTGATAGTATAATTAGAACCAAGCTGCAGCTGCTTGGAAAGGCTTTTCCAAGGCTATGTGATTGCCACGTGGCTGTCATTGTCAATTTGCCGGGTTGACAAACATTTCAATGAATTTCAATGTGTGCTGATCGGGCTGAATTGAATTCTGACGATATTTTGTAATATTTGTGGATCTTTGGCATGTGTTTGAAGATGATGAAGGTCTAGTTTGTGTGAATTGAATTGGGGGAAAGTTTACAAATTTAGAACAAATATTTTTGGGCTCAAATCTGTTTTAGGGTTGATAACCTTCGATTTCGAGGAACTTATTGAGTTATAGACAATTCATAAATATTTTCGAAACCAATTAAAGCCCAAAGCATACAAATATGTTGCCATTAATATTGAATTGAACCTTGCAACAAATAAAACATTTAAAAATGAATTAAGGGGCCGTTCAACGTCCAAAATTAACGGTCATTTTTCAAAAAAGGACAATGGATTTCCAGGAATTTCTATTGTTCTTTTCTTGCTGACCCCCACCCCCTGGACGTCAGATGTGAACGGCCCCTAAGAAATATTTTTACCAGATTCCCACAAAATGTAAAATTAATTCAATTCAGAAAATTCAATTCCAATTAGTATTAATGATGTTTTTTTTTCATCGCTAAGTGCATGCTTGCTGTTCCACAAACTAATGTCAATTTTTCTCTATCGTCTCATTTCATGCAATAAAAGATTACGATCCATGCTGGTCCAATTACACAACAATTTTCTAGAGAACTGCAACAGCAGCTTGTGGTGCAACTTACAATGTTTTACTTCTATTTGCTAAAAATCTCATTTCCTTAAGAAATCAAAGTAAAATTATTTTGTTTGAGTTAGTTTACATAGCAAATGAGGGACTGGTAAGCTTGTAGAAAGAGAGCAATTTAATGGAAAATATTCACTTCAGTGGATGAATAAATGGAAATTGAAATGCACAAATAAATTGAAAAATAAAAATGAATGTAAAAGTTGCTGACTAAAAGTTTTTCTACTCTCGCTTTTGAATGGCTTTATTAGTAGATTTATAAGAGTAATTTTTTGCATTTATTTAAATTGTTTTTTAAGTTTTGTTTGGTAAATTGAATTTTGAAGGATTTCAACTTTTAAATTATGTAGGAATGAGCTTTTTGCAGAGCAATCAATGTTAAGATAATGATTGCAGTTAAGATCTTAGTTTTCCTTATTAAACTTGCCCGAATGGCACAAGTCGATTGCTCAATCAGAAATCTAGCACCAAGCCGGTGTGACTCTAGCGTGGTACTTTACTTACTTACTTCGCTGGTTGTACAGATCAATTGTGATCCATGATCTCCCTTAGTTGACGTCTATAACTAGTTCTATCGCTGGCTACCGTCTGCCAATTTCCAATACAAAGCGCTATACTGTCTCTATCAACAGCTTCCTTCCACGAGTTCTTTGGTCGTCCACGTGATCTCTTGCTCTTACTGGATTTAAATCGAAGCTAGCACAGTGCCAGAGTCATAATGACTTTGCGCTAGATTTATATTAGATTTACCAACTTGTGCCATTCGGGCTGATAAGGAGGAGAATTTCTGTTAAGATTTTAGTGAATTTATTGATTCTGATGCTAACGACGCTGGAGAACTGATCAAAACTGATGTTTTAAACTGTTCAGAAATGATTAGAAATGATCAAAACTAATTGAAAATGGTCTAAACATCATTTTTCAGCTCCTTAGTCTTAGTCTCTATATCATTTTCCACATTAAACCCACAAAGATGAATCAAACTTCCCTTAAAATAAACAGTTAACCTTAACCTTCTCCATCCAGACAGTCCTTAACATTAAGTACAGAAATAACTTTCAATTCAAGTTCTTCAAGTCAAGAAGAAGCCTCAGCACTGTCTAGCAAAGAGAAAAGAAAAAGTTTTTATATTAAAATGTCAAATAAATTCAAAGAATAAAGATTTACGTCTTCAGGACCTTCATTAAGTCAACAAATAATGGATAAATGATGGCAAAGTTACAGCATTTTAATTGAAACGCTTGTTCACGCCATTTTTGGACTAATTTATTCCTTTCTTCATTCATCAACAATGATGACAAAAATATTTATATTTCAGGAAGTACAAAAAAAAGAAAGTTGACGAATTTCTCACTCTGAATATCCAATTAAGTCACGTTCTGAGGAAAAAGGCTCACTTTAGTGCGAATTCACAAAAAAAAAAAATATAAGAATTGTCATGATGATGATGAGGCATTTTCCCTCTTGGACATGAATGGAAGGAGGAACGAAAAAAAAATTATTAATGAATCGGCATTAAGGAAGTATCACGTTGCTATAATTAGGATACCATTGGGAGGCACACAGACATAACTTTTGTCGAATCTTTTGTTTTGTCAAGATTAATTTTTTGTTATTTATCGTGGGAATAAAAGCTTTGGACAATTTGTTCGAGTGATTGCATCGTTTTCATGGGAAAGTGAGCACAAAAAAAAGGGACGGAGAAAGTTTGTTGTGGAACTCTTTAGAGATTTTTGAAGGTTATGAGAATTTTATGAATTATTTTTTGGTTACTGATTCTTTAATAGATTTTTTTTATTGATTAAATTCAAATGTATAAGGCAAGACGTAGTCAGGAAGTGAGGATTTTCAAGATTTTTGTTAACAGTCGGGTTTGGATATTCTTAAATTGTAAACATTTTATTCATTTCGTATTTTTTATGAACCTGAATAGCACAAACTGGTAAATATATCAACAATCCGGTACCAAACAGCGTGACTCTAGTATGGTGCTGGATTTAAATCAAAGCTAGAGTTATGTCAGCTTAGCGCTGGATTTCTATTCGAATAACCGACTTGTGCTATTCGGGAGTAGCTCATCATTTCTTTATTTCTTTGCTCGACGATTCTGTCAGTGCCTTTAAATCATCTTGCTGTGTTTCTTAAGATTTGGGTTCTTGAAAACTTTTTCACTGTATATAAATCTTGAAAATTATTTTTGAGTATCAAAAGTTTACTACTATATAAAAAGTATGTTGGGAGAGGAACCACCTGTTGATGATGTTTTTTCTCTTTTTTGTTCTCATCGTCATGCTCACTTGATTCATATTCTGAGTTATTCAATATTAATATTTTTCAGGGGAATTATTAAATTTTATGTTTAATCCAAGAGATCCTAGCCAAGGCTTCTCCTTTAAATACGAAGATTATAATCTGTAGGAGCCTTAGTCCTAGCAGGGTCGTAGAGGGTTTCAGAGTCAAAAGGAAGTGCACAGAGAAAAGCAATGGAAAAATACAAAAAAACCCTTAAAAAAATTTCTGGCAACGCCTTTGGGTCCTATAGGATCCTAGTTTGGTGCCTAGATAGTATCAACTCGGATTATTCAGGTTCTTAAAGCAATGAGCCTCCCAATAAGTTGGAGATTTTAATTAATATTAAGTATTACGCTATAGATTATTGTTCATTATGATATTTAATTGATTCATGATTAAATGCATGTTACAAGCATTCAATTAGCTGACAAATATTAAAGTTAAATGTCGTATTGTATTTCCTCAATATTGGAGTACGGGGGAGGGGGGGGGGGGGTGCAATATAATTACCACTTTTACATTCAATTATCATTAATCCTTATTTAATTAATCTATAAATCAACTCAATAACTCTCAGCGACTGAAAATCATCCCAGCACTTACAAATTACGAACACTTCATGCTGCATTAAAACCCAAATACAAAATTTTAATGACTCATTTAACTTAATTGACTTTTATGTGTGAAAAAGCCAATGACTCGCAAGAAAATTTCCGAAAAAATGATTTTTTTAAATTTGTTCATATTTTGCGGAAATGTTTAAACATTAAGTACACAAATTTATGTACATAAAACCTACTTAAATGTGTTTCTCGTATGTTTATGCCTCAATGATAAAGGATATAAAATAAATATGAAAATGCTGAAGTTGAACATATGAAAATCGCTATAAAGAAATTGTGCAATAAATATGAATTTGAATTGGGGATTTGAGGATTAGACGATTTGATGGAGATTGTTGAGGGGGGTCTAAGATTGCATTTCTTTGTGGACGTCATTTATGGACGGTCTTTTAAGAACTTTGGAACTGGATCCTTAATACCCTAGGCACAGTTAAATTATATGTTTACCTCTAATTATAGGACATTAATTTTTGATTCTTAGGTAAGGGGTCGTTCACTTATGACGTCCAATAACGTCACGGGGGGGGGGGTTTAAAAATTTGTGACACATTGTGACAGAGGAGGAAGAGAGGTTACATCCAATTTTTTTTGTGAAAAAATTATATTTTTTGTGTCTATAATTGAACGTCACAAAGTGGGAGGCATTGATATCTGTGACAGAGGGGAGAAGGGGGGTTTAAAAATTATGTTTTTCGATGAACGTCATAAGTGGCCAGAAAGGCAAAAATATTGGGATATAAATAAAATTAATCTGACACTAGGGTAAGGTGCCACGATAAGCAGTAAAAACCGACCACTACAACTAGGTTTATTTTTAAATTTTAGGTGAGCCCTCCCAACCTTGTATCTAATCCTTAAATAAATAAATAATCTTCTATAAAATTTGTATCGTTATACATCGCAACATATTGCAGAATTGTAAATTTGCTCCTCATTTTTTTACACTCGCACGTTTATCGATTTGCTGAAGAAGAAATGTACAAAAAATTCACATTTATCAGCACTTAAGGGTTCAAGAAGAATTGTCAAGTTTTTTTTCCGTCTTGCTTTAAAGTGGCTCAAATGATTTACTGCTTTAATGCACGTATAAACTCAGACTTTTCAAAGCTTATTTTATTTTTATTTCATCAAAAGGAGCCAAAAATAAATCAATTCATAACTTTTTGTGTCATGCCTGCCAGGAACTTTTTTTTTCTTTGAAAAATCAGACAACATCACTTAATATATGCTTGAGCAGTTCTACACATGTAGCAATAAGCTGACATCCGATTACCTCAAGGCGAACAAGCATAAAGCACTTCATATTTTCAGATTTGTATATTCATACAAAAAAGAGCTTTTTCGACAATACCTTCAAGTATCATTCAGTTATCATAACCCCTTTTTTGCCTCCGATCACTTATTGAACATGACAGAATGAAGTAGGATGAAGAAGAGCTTGCTTTTGTAACGATACTTTTGACATTAAGTGCTGAGAGCTTCTCAATCGATTGCTTCTTAGAACTCCTACTGAGAAAAAGGAACTTCATGACTTTAAGGCATGACGATGTAGTTTTTTGTTTTCTTTAAGCTGCTTAAAAGTTTCCTTTTGCTTTGCATTTGGTTATGTTTTTACAGGTGGAGAATTTATGATAGCCTGAATAAATGGAAATCATTAATAAATTACGTCCAAAAAATAAAGGTCACTTTTCAAAAGGGTGTGGGGGGGGGTCTAAGATTTTGTTACGGTTCAAACAAAAAAAATTTTTTCATACAAATTTTTTTACAAGCGGAAGGGGGGGGGGGGTCTAAAATGTCGTTTTTTCGCGTTACGTAATAAGTGAACGGCCCCAAAACAAACAACTTAATTTTCAATAAATTCTGTTCTTCTAGAGCTTTTTGACCTTCCTCTCCTCCCTGTGACGTCATTTATGAATGGCATTATATGAAAAATTCATGATTCATAGGCTCAGCAGGGGGTGGAATGTGTCAAAAATTTTAAAAAATAATTTCTTGAACAATAGCGTAAAAATAAATTCAGATTTTTATGTCAAGGCATCATAAAGCTTTAGTTTTAAGAATATTTTCTTTCCAAAGACTTAAAAAAAGGCAAAAACCGATAAAAACTTCATGCTTAACTTTCTATGAGATTGAGAAAAAAAGGTAAGTGAATGTAATGAATACTCAATTTTGGTATATTCTTTTCTTAGGAAAGGATTCCTGTGAGTAGGATGAAGGCATACGTAAGAAAAGTGGAACAAATGACGTAGAAAATATTTTAACAATAAATCCTCGTTAGCTTGATGACTAATGGCACAGTGAACCTTGAACTTCTCAAAAAGTTTTTATTTCTGTTCGTCCTTTGGGATAAAGCATAACAATCTGCTGACCTAAATATAGAACAAGTTCAAAACCAAATAATCAAAAAGCTTTAAGGATAAAGAAAAATTTAACAGTAATTATATTTCAATGTCTAAAAAGTAGCTGAATTTGAAATGTTCATGATGAAGGTGAAAAAATCGTGGGCTTTTTTGTTGGCGTCTGCAATGAAGTCTGCGAAGTTTTGCAGGTTAGAAAAAGTTGAAGACATTTGGGATTGGCTTTAATAAATGAAATGTGATACAAATTGTATGAAATGTTGTTGAAAATAGAAGAGCAGATTATTAGATGAAATTTACCATATAAAGCTGTTGCTTAAGTGATAATTTTTTCAAATTGAAGCTGAATAAAATTGGTTGTAAAATTTTAAATTAGATCAGTGGTTCTCAATCTGTGTACTGCGGCACACTAGTGTGCCGTGGAAAAATCTAAGTGTGGCGCAAAAAATCCAGTTTAAAAGTATGCTATATTCCAGAAAAAGGTTGAGAAACACTGCATTAAGTAGTCAAAAGTTTTGGATGAATAATAAACTATTTTGATAAGTTTTTAATAAATTTGCTTATTTCAAACAAAGACTGAAGTCTAAAGCGTAAGGGACTTTTATGTAACTTTTTTTTAAATGCGCTTTAATCTTCTCCACCGTGTCTACATCCCTTGAAACCAATTCAATCCTTACCATTACAGAAGCAACATAAAGTAAGCAACACAACATCTAAGCTATTAACTTATTTTACAATGTTGAAATCCAATTTAAGAAGCAACATTTTTCATTTACGGGGCTGCTCGATTTCCTTCTCAGATTTCATGACTCTTCTAGAAACGATGGTTGATCGAACTTCATGGAATTTTTTGAGAAAGTTATTATTTTTCATGAAATTAAGACTCGATTTGATTTTTGGATCAAATTACTTTGAATATTTTCTGAAGGTAAAATTTATCTGATATTTTTTTGTTGGATGTCATCTGCTTTTAAGTTTCTAAAACGTTCTTTTGTCATCGACATCACTGTTGTCTTAAAATGATCCCCTCTTTTAGAGTTTGAAGAATTTAAAAGGTAGATTCCAAGCTAGATTCCAGGTAGATTCCAGGCTTCTTTTGTAATGGGAATAGGATAGAACTTTTTTGAATATTTGAAATTCCTTCCAGCGCTGTTTTTTGTCCATTAAATCATTCGGGAACCAAAAAGTCCGAGAGCCTAGTGGGTCATTCACATATGACGTCCGTCTAAAGAATTATTTTTTGACCTCTTCTACCTGTGACTCCATTTATATGAATAAAAAAATTCTCTATTTAAGCTGTCACAAAATCCAAGTCCCCCCAATCTCCTTAAATCGCAGACGTCATAAGTGAACGATCCCTTGTCTATTCTTCTCCCCAAGCAACTCCCCCTAAATTCTCCAGACTTCATTCCACCCCTAAATCTTCTCCCCATCCAATCTACAGAAAAGTTTAAAACATTTAATGTCAAACTTTTGAGCAATAAAAGATATCATTATTTATGCCTACCCAAGGTTCATAAAATTTACAAAATGAAGTAAAATAAGAAGTAGTAACATTGTAGATATCGTAGGCAAGAAATGTAATAATATTTTGTAAAAAGGGAACGAAGTGTGCAATAATCTTACCGCGACTTTATAATTCAAGCATATAACGATGTGCATATGAAATGGAAGAAAACTTATAAATTTTAACAAACGGTTTGTGTGTGTGTGTAGGCAGCCCCTTTCTGTCTCTATTTTTCCGACGTGAGTGTTCACTAACTATGGAAATTTATGAACTTTATGAATATCGCATCGCATCATACCTACGTTAAACAGCTGTGTTAATATGGAATATATTGAGGGTTACGGCTTTATTTTATTTTCATATTCTTTTTTTGGTGTTTTAATGTTGAATATTTGTCAAGGTAAGGTAATGTCTGGTGAGCTGAAAATTAAGGTTTTGGAATAAATTTGGAATTTATATTTGTCAAATTCGAGTTCATCTGGAACTTCCTTAGGTTCGAATGAGTTGACTGGAGTTAAATAGGGTTGAATAGGTTTGTGTATGGTTGTGTAGGGTCGACTAGGGTTGGTTAAATTTGTATAGAGTTAAACATTGCTGACTAGGGTCGAATATGAGCTGACTAGAGTCGAATATGAGCTGACTAGGGTCGAATATTAGCTGACTAGGGTTGAATATGAGCTGACTAGAGTCGAATATGAGCTGACTAGGGTCGAATATTAGCTGACTAGGGTTGAATATGAGCTGACTAGAGTCGAATATGAGCTGACTAGGGTCGAATATTAGCTGACTAGGGTTGAATATGAGCTGACTAGAGTCGAATATGAGCTGACTAGGGTCGAATATTAGCTGACTAGGGTCGAATATGAGCTGACTAGAGTCGAATATGAGCTGATTATGGTCGAATATTAGCTGACTAGGGTTGAATATGAGCTGACTAGAGTCGAATATGAGCTGACTAGGTTCGAATATTAGCTGACTAGTGTTGAATATGAGCTGACTAGAGTCGAATATGAGCTGACTAGAGTCGAAATGGACCCATGCAACACCATCAAAATGAACCCAAAAATCAGCAAAACCTATGAAAAGTCTCCAAAATTGTCAACCAAATTTAAATAAAATCCAAAAATTCATCATGTCCCCCAACTCCTTTTTATTCTCAGTAAAACACAAAATAAATAAACATTTTTCTCTACCTTGAAAATAACATTTTACCTTTCGCAACCAAACATAAATAAAATAATGCTCATAGAGACTTATAAACACATATTTGCCATGACAACCATATCGTTACTTGTTAACTCGATATTAAATTTTATGCAGTTCGCATTTGAAAATTGGATTTTGTTAGATAAAAAATAAATTTAAAGCAATAAAAAATGTCAAAATCTAAATCCGCAAAACTAGCTCGTGAGCGTTTTAAATCTGCCGCAAGACGTGTGTGCAGCGAGGAATTCATTTGGGATATCGACGGATCGAAAACGTTTGTGACCAAAATTAATAAAATTATTGCAGATAAAATTGTTTCATTTTTTTCGATTAATTTTTCAGCTTTAGTTCGCGAGCAAAAATTTTCTGTGCATCACAATTGGCTGCAAAGCAACGAGAGAATCCACTTGATGGAAAAGAATTTGTTAAAATTGTCACTCGTGATGGAGTGAGGAATCTCTTAGTTCCGAGTAAACGTCCCAACACGTACGAAGAATTTTGGCCACAAAAGGAGCTTGTACGTCTCGAGAATAAAGCCAAAGTATTAACAGTTGAGGATAAAATGATAAAACTGCAAAAGCGACTCGAAGAGAACAAAAAATTGAAGGAAGATTGCGAGAAGAGGAAACAGCGGCTCAGGGAAATTGATATGGCAAAAAGAACGTTGATGGAGAATGAATTGGATTCATATCAAATTGCTGAGAATGAAAATAAATTGAAATTACTCGACCGTGCATACCTAGCGAAACAAGAGCAGGTACGTCTCTTAATATTAGCTTGTGATTCTAGTGTTTGTGGAATTTTTTTCATGACCTTGTGAATGAAATGTTGGGTGTGTTGACAATGGCAGGCATAATTTTGATTTACTGTGAAATGTGCTTTGGAGAATCTGACGCAGTTCTTCGACTGTTCATTGAATTTTATTTTTTAGGGATGGGACTAGTGGGGGGGGGGGGTACCGAGCCAGGTGGGTCTTGTCGCCCCCTTAAATGTTTTGAACCTAAAAGAGAGCACGGTCTAAAATGCTTTAGAGGGGGACAAGACCCTCCTGGCGACGCACCTGGTACCGAATAATCTCAAGAATGAACTCTCAATTTTGACTGATTATGAAATGACCTTAAATAATATTAATAGAAATTTAATTCAAACCGACTATTCCAATCCAAGAGCCAGTCTTTCAGGTAAACGCTTCTCATGTACTCTAGTATGGCAGAGATACACCTGAGGTACTGACCCCTGACATGCTTTAAGTTAAAAAATTTCCAGTCCATTTATAATCATTACCTTTCTATCCTTCATTAACTATCTTCTTCTTCATCATCTTCCACCCTGTATTAACCTCAAACGCATCAAACTCATCAATTCTTGAAATTTACGTTCCGAACAATTTTCACATCAACCAAATAATATTCAAAAATTAAATAATAGGAAGAGGAAGTAAAGCAAGCAAATCGCATCATTTTAGCAACAAAATGTTCAGTAATTCGCGACGCACAAATAGCTGAAAAGAATGAAATTGAACGAGAATTTCGTAATGAGAATTTAAGACTTGAGCGAATGATGTTAGAAGAGCGTGATAAGGCACTCATTGAAGAGGAACAGAAGCGAGAAGTTGAACGAAAAAATGTATTAAAATATTCGATGGAGATACGAGCACAATTGGAAGAAAGGGAAGCGGTTCGAGCGAAGGAAGTTGAGAGAATTGAAGAAGAGGCGGCTGCAATGAAAAAGGCGCTTATGGCAATAGAAAAGGTAGGATATTGGAATGCTATACGGAAGGCATTCCCGGTTGAAAATTAAATTCCGAATTCCACATCATTTTTACCTTTTAATTTCACATGACTACACAGGAAGACGTGGAAAAGGCTCGAATACGAAGCGCAAAAATTCAAAAGACACGTGAAGGTCTTCAAAAGTCTAGTCATTGGAGTCAATATTTCAAGAATTTGCAATTTGAGAAGGAACGAATTGCGGAATTGAAAGTACAAGAATATATGCGACAACGATTGGAAAGGGATAAGCAATTGGAGCTTGAAAGGCGACTAGCAAAGGAAGAGCGTGAAAAGGAATATGACAAAATTCTTCAGCGTCAACAGAAATTGCTTGAATCAAAAACAGAACGTAATGAATTGGAGTATCGACGACAAAGGGAAGAGGTTGAGCGTGAATTTAGACGACGCGAAAAGGAAGCTGCAATAAAGAAACGTGAGATGGCTGATGATATAGCAAAAGCACGTAATGTTCAATTGGAGGAAGTTGTAAGTCATAATATTTATTTGTAAGGCATTGAAATTGATGATTTTTGGATTAAACCTTGAATTAAGTTTTTAACGGAAATTTGAGATTTGATAAATTTGATGCGAAAATACTCGCGTCAAAGAAGCAAAAGATCTTCAATTTTTTTTTTGAAACTCTAAGTTTTTAATTTAATTTGGTTTGATTAAGTGAGATTGGAAGGTTTTAAAGCTCCTTGGCAGGTGTATAACACAAAAATCTATTAAATTAACACAAGTAAAAGTCAACAAAGTTCAAAACAAAATCAAATTCTTCAAAATACTTGTTTAAAAAACAAAAACTAAAAGTTTTTTAAAAGTCAACCCTCAAACTTCCAATCCCAGTCTATTACAACATTCAATAACAAGTATTACATAAGTTTGACATAATTTTTCTTTCCTTTCATTTTACACTTTCAATATTTTCCCTCTCATCATCAACACTACAATGTTTCCGATTGTATTACACAGAAACGACAACGTGCAATGCAAATAGCACGAGATGAAGCCAATTTCAATGAGTTTATGGGTAAACTTCGAGTTGAAAAGGACAGAGAAGAGCTGAGGAAGAAGCTTCGTTCGCAGACTAAATGCAAATATCGAGATGATATAATCGCTCAAATTGAACAGAAGAAGGTGAAGAAACGTGAAATGGAAGAGAAATTGAAGCGTGAAAAAATGGCTCTTATTGATGCAGAACGACAGCGTGAAAAGTGAGATTAGTTTTTTTCTTCTTCTGTTATTATAGATTAGCTATTATTCTGTGTTGTGCCTTTGTTGTTGGGTGTTGGTAATGGGAAGCTTCGATAATTAACTTTAACCTTGATCTGAGTCAACTTAAACAGTTAGGACAGATGCATAATAACAAACTGAACTCTAACCTTGATTATTGTAGACCAATGAACTCTTAATTCAATCCATTAGCAAATCCCAATTAAATTTTTAATTTTTAATTCCAACAGAAATGTGAAACAAGTAATCGAAACAAAGGTCAAAGACATGAAAGCCAACAATGTTCCTGAAAAATTCATAAAAGATGTTGAACGTCAACTGAATAACCTTGCCAACTTGACACTGTCCGTAAAGTCGAAATAAGCACGAATAAAATAAACAGGAATTATAAGCATAAGCAGAAATGTCAAAATTAAAAGAACTAAGAGTTTTTTAACATGCTAGTCATGGCAGTTAAGCTTAAACATTTCCTTTTTGTCAGTAGATGTAAGTGACACTTTAATATATTTTTTATACACACACTTATGCTTTCTCGAAATCCCGGTCCCGACAAATTTTCGGGATCGGGATCGGGATTGAAATTTTTCGGGATTTCCCGGGAAATCCCGGGAATCCCGAATATGTAAAAAAATTTAAAAAACAGCATTTTTCTGCTTTTTTTCCCAAAAAAAATTATATATTTTTTTGCTAATTATACGGTCATTTATTCCTTAATTAATTAGTTATACTTTATGTGTTACAAGGTAGATGTTTTAATCCATGTTTCATTTGAAAAATGTGAACATAAACAAAAATAGAAAATAAATGTTGCTAAAGATGTAAGTTAAAAGATTAGAGAAAACGGTGTGAATATAATAATAAAAATTAAGCATTAATGAAAAAACTTTTAACAAATGCAATTGCATTTAGATTCTTGTCAAGTAAACGTTTTCTTTGTTTTGTAAGAATTTTGTTACTAATAGAGAAATTTCGTTCGCTTTGAGTTGAGGTCGGCTGCATTGTTATCAATGCATCGTAAAGTTGATCTAATAAAACGGTTCTCTTCTTATTTTTGTCATACCAATTAAACTCTCTTTTCAAGTTATTTGGTTCTGTTGCTGCTGCATCTGTTGTTAATGATGTATATTCAGATCTGCTTAGTTTCAGTCTATCTCGAATAGAAATGTTTGACGGTTGGATTTGATTTGCACTGGATGTTGAAGCTTCCATAGCTCCATTTGTAGAGTTTTTGACAAAATACTTCTTCAATAAGTCAATGCCAAGTTTATGTATTGCAGCTTTTGTTGACGATTTAAAATGCTTGTCTAAAGAAATAAATTGAGGATTATTCAGGTAAAGTATTAAGTCAATTAATGTTCCATTTCTTCGTGCACCTATGCGAGCGCAATTCATATCGTAAACCTTTTGAGACAATAATGTTCCTTGTAGCAACAATTCGTCTAGCAAAAAGTTAATTGTTCCTTCAGCAATTAATAAATCGTTTGATTTACGCAATAATTCTTCTGTCGCGTATTTAGTAATAATTTCCTAAACTAAAAAACCGGGATTTTCAATCCCGATCCCGATAAATTTCGGGATCCCGGGATTGATCGGGATCGGTAAATCCCGGGAAATCCCGATCCCGATCCCGATAGCGAGAAAGCATACACACACTCAACCTTTTTGTGTATCAACTTAACTTTAATGATGATGAAGTAAAGCTAACAAGAGTGGATACGAGATGCTGTGCAATTTTCATTTTGTGTATTTTCTTCCATTTCATGCTGAATTGCTGACATCACTCAAATGTTTAAGGAGCAATGCTCGCTTCTACCTTCTTTTGATAACGAAAATGTTCAATCTCCTTTTTTTTGTTGAATTGTAGAAATAATTTCTCTTTTTTAGGTTATAATGGAATCTTGTCGATTTTTCGAGTGACAAAACGAAAAATCGAATCGAATGAAATTTGGAATAATTCAAGGTAATGATTAAGTTGAGATCGAATGCAAGTTTTGAGGAGGATCTGGAAAATTGTGATTAATTTGTTTGGATCTACAAGATGAATCGTGTTTTTGAATTGGTGGTTTGGAAAGGAATTGGAAAGGGGATTGTCAGAAACTTTGGATCCAATCAAACCTTATCCAAACTTACTCTTTTGGATAGCACTACCAAACCCCTCAATTTCATCTGGTTCTTATTCATTAAATCATAGGATCTCCAGTAGAAACTAGTTTTTTAAATATTAAGGATTCGAACTGATGATCCTTGCGATTAAAGCAGAGATCGAATCCGATTTTTTCGGCTTAACTCAATTTTTGATTTTTTTGATAGAAAAAAGCCATTTAACACCTATTTTAAGTATTTAAATTGAACTTTACATGCTTTACTATGATTCTGCGAAATATTTTTTCAGCATGTAGCTATAGTGAGCTCAGAATTTCAAGTTAAAGAATGTTAAGCCGAAATTTAAGCCGATCGGCTTAAAATCGGCTAAATTGAAATTCAGAGCTTACTATAGCTACATGATGAAAAAATATTTCACAGAATCATAGTGAAGTTAAATACTTAAATTGGGTGTTAAATGGCTTTTTTCTATCAAAAAAATCAAAAATTGAGTTAAGCCGAAAAAATCGGCTTCGATCTCTGGATTAAACACTTAAATTTAAGCCAATAGCCTTCTTGCTTGCTCCACAGACCAACTTAACAATCAATAAAATAAATTGTCAAGCTCGATAGTCATCAAAACTATCAGCAAGCAAAACAAACAAAAATCAATACCAGAAAATAAAAAAAAAATTAAATTATGAGCAATCATAATAAGTAAATAAATATAAATAACATTTCAAACTGATTCTCATCTACAAATAAGTGCTATTGATAGCTCCTTATATCAAAATAGAAACTTTTCTTCCAATCCACACTACGAGATGACGAAGAAGAAGTTTTGTTTATCTAGCAACACTAAAGTCGACAGAATTCGCATTCGGAAAATTGAAAAAAAAAAAAAATAGCTTTCAGCAAACTGAAATGAAAAGGAAAACTAGTTCAAAGAGCTTAGTTTTCTATAAATAGATAGAAATTCAATAAAATTTAATAATAGTCATCCTAATCAAACTTTATTTGAATTTAGAAATTCTTTTATGAAAAAAAGAAAGAATTTAAATTGATAAAAATTTATTGAATTTCCATTTGGAGTTTGTGGAGCGAGAAGAATCAGCATTTGCATTATGTAGATTCTGTCATATTAGAATGACATTAGAAGGGATGAAGTCAGGCTGTTTTTTGACGATAACCGGCTTTTTCCAAAAACATATGGATCCTTAACACTCCCCATGATCTTTAAGTCTGACTTTGTGGATGGAAAAAGAGTACGTGGAAGGACTCATGAAAAGAGGCTGTTTATAGTTGCATTAGGTACAGTATTGCATTAGGTATAGGAAATTAGCAAGCGGTAACCAGCTTTAGAGCCAGTTTTAGGCTGCATCTGAGGGATGCCATGGATCACAATTGATCTGTAAGGTCATCGAGGTCATCAGAATACTCATCATGCAAGGGACGTAGCAACTCGGGTCTTCACCCACTTTAAAAATTTTGAGCGATGCTCTAGCTGGGGTCCAAAACTTTTAGGGGGGTTTCTGTCTCCTGACTACTCCCCTACCCTATACCATCAAATCAGTGTGACATAGGGCAGTCGCATCCTCATCATGCAATATTCTGTTTTATTCTATCTTAAATCTTATTTTAAATTGTATCTAAGCTGCATGACGTTCAATCCTGATTTGAATGAATATTTACTTTTTGATATTTCCGGAACAGAATGGATTAAACCGTTCTGTTGTTTTACTTTGTGTATATTTGTGATGTGTTATTGTTTTTTGATATCTTAAAATCAAGATTTCATATAATTTTGGTAACGGAAGTCTCTCAAATGATAGTGAAACTCTGAAAGCCTGTACAGACACTGACATTACGTCTTACATCGTTTAATCATTTGTTTAGCATAGCATCATGAATTCACGAAGAAGCTCCTAAGAAGAAAATCAAATTTTGATATTATTTACAATCTTCTAATACTCAAAATCCATTCAGAGCTCAAGTAACATCCACGAAACTCTTACTCCAGAAATTCTGATGACTAAAATGATTTTTCAATTCGTGCATTAAACAAAATGTGTTTGTAACAATGAATCGTCTGTATTGGAAGTAAGGAAATGCATTATTACCATTATTCATTGTTGTAATGTGAAGACTCTTCCTTAGAACTGAGTAATAAAGCTATTGTTAGTTGTATGAATTGATATGAATCTCATACAATTAACATACAATAACTTAGCTACTTTGAGGGATGAAGTATTCATAATAATGCACAGGATACACAATGTTTTCATCTTTTGTGAACATTTTCTATTTTAAGCTTTTTTGTGTAAAACATTTTTTAATATATTGGAGTATTTTTTGATGCAAAATTTTCATATTTTTTTTTCAGGTTTTGTAAAGACTTTGTTGTGTAGATTAGATGGTTTTGCTACAGATATTATCAAATGTGGCTTTGTTGATGCAGGATCAGTACATGAATATTTCAATCAAATTTAATTAAAAGAGTAAGAGGACGATGGATGTAAAGCTATTCATTTAAGAGCAGTTTTATGTTCTTTGATATTTTTTTTTTCAATATTGTTTCGGAGTTATTCATTCAGATATGCTCATTGATAACATTAGGTCAACCTTAATACATTCTCTTGATAGACAATTTTATATGATTTTGGTCGATTAGTGTTACTCAGAGTTCGAAGTCGACTCAAGATTTTTATCGAGTTTGTATGGCGGAGTTGACTCGACTCTATACGAAATTTCATCGACTTCAAGCTCTGGTGTTACTCCTGAGACTAGCTTTCTTTAAAAATACTACTCTAGGTTTTGACTCCAACCTTTACACTTTAGTTTACTACATCTGAACTTTAAATAATCGACACAAAAAAAAGATGTAAAACTTATGTTCCACAAAGCACCCACGTTCAAATCTAGCCTTCTTCCAAGAACAAGATTAAAAAGAATGAAAAGAATCATTTAAAGTGGAAAATTACTTTCTCAATCAAACAATTTTGACATCTGTTCCGAATTGCTCACATCATAGATAAAATACTTATTTAAATGACACAAAGGAAAATTTTTTGTTGTTGTTGTTTACTTTATTAAATCATTCTGTTCCCAGTTCTTTGGTGCAGATGAATGCCTTAATAGGATTTATGTTTTACTTTGGGACAAAAAAATGAGGTTCAAGTCGCTCATTTTTGTTATTATGGTATGGATTATGAGGAGGTTTGTAGTAACAAAAGTTAAGATTTTAAATGCCCTTTTTTGCTACGTTCCTGGTTCTTGACATG